TTGATTACAGTGATGGCTGTGAGGAATAAAGTTCTTTGTGAATCAGGAGTCTCCAGCTTTGTCTCAGCATCCCTGCAACTGTGGTAGGCTAGCTTGTTAGATGGCAAGATTGGTAGAAACCCTTTACCATTCTTGGCAGATTCTTTTTCTATTGTTAACATCCTACCATCAACTCTGACTAGAGCACGAAGCACAGCCACCTAACCAGTCTCCCCATTCTGTCATGTATCCAGTGTCTTTAAAAACTTGATTTCCTCCCCTAAAATGTGAGATATTAAACTATTCTTCTTAAAATCTTTCAATGGTTTCTTTTTCATATAGAATAAAATCTGTGCTTTTTGTGTGATAACCTATGACATGATCTAGCTCCCTTGCCTACCTCTCTTATAAAATATCTCTTCTATTTGCTTATTAAAGTGGGACCATATATACTTTTATAAGATTTTTTTTTGCCTAGAAGTGTTTGTACTTGCTATTTCTTTTGTCTGGCACATAGAATTCCCATGCTTGGCTCTTTCCCATCCTCCAGGGGAGTATTATGAAATAGGCACTAGTAGGGGTGGCAAACACTTTTTAAAAAAGAATTTGAGATTCAATATACATGTTTTTAAATCTTCAAAATGGTCAACATGAGAAAATCAGAATTTCTCTGTAAGTATTTGAACCTTATCAAAATTCGGGAACCACTTCTGAAGGCTCTACCAACTGTAGGTCAAGTGCTTCAGCTGTCCCAACCCCAATAACAATGCAACGTCTTGATACTCAAAGGATGGCCCTTGGTCTAGCAGCATCTCCATAAGCTGGGAGCTTGCTAGAAGTTCAGACTCTTGGGCCTAATCCCTTCTTATTTTTTCAAGATCCCCAGGTGAGTTAAATGCACATTAAGTTGGAGAAACTCTGAGGTAGCATAGCCCCTCTTCCTTCCATCATAGCACTTCCCCTGCATGAGTTATTCTGCACTTTCAACCATTCATTCTTCACTCTCTATCTCTACCTCCTCTTCCTCCCCTCTAGACTATAAGTTAAAAAGAGGAGGGACTTGCCAATGTTGATAGCTTGTATCTCCAAGGCTCAGACTAAGTGCTCAAATATATTTGGAAGACATAAATGAACAAAACACACAGTAGTTACTATGAATTAATTCCTTTATGGGTAAACTTTCCACCTAAACATAGCCTCATTTTTATTTACACCATTTATACTATATGTTGGATCCTTGATGGCTCACTTTGTTTCTTACACTCTCTGGAATGGTTTTGTTATAATAAGGAAGAAGAAGGACATGACCTGAATTTTCGTATTTTTATCCAACTTTTTACTTGCTTTGTTTTGGATGCCTGTAATACCTTCAATTACTTTTGATTGTTCTAGACTCTGCTCTTTCAAATCCAGCCTCCCTATTAAGGATTGACAAGTTTGTGGTGTGAATATGGAAGGCTAGCATTTGGGTCTGAAAAACATGTTCTACTATTTCCTAACTGCGCCACCTGGGAAATTAATTATCCTCTGAGTCTGTTTATTAATCTTTTCAGTGGATAATAACATTTGCTTTCCAGGGTGCTAATGAGGATCAGTAGGCTCATGTATGCAAGGCATCTCGCAGAGTAAGGTCTCAGCGTCCATCAGGAAAAGTCCATTGCTCTTACTTTTTACATCATGTCACCTTATGCTTAAGCAAACAACCCAACGAAAAGAAAACAAGAAAAATTTAAAAATTGCAGGAACTCAAAGCCCTTAAATACTATTTAAATGAATTCCCCTGGCTGAAACTGGTTTGGCTCAGTGGTAGAGCATCAGTCTGCGGACTGAGTGGTCCCAGGTTCGATTCCGGTCAGGGGCATGTATGTTGGCTGCGGGCACATCCCCGGTAGGGGGTGTGCAAGAGGCAGCTGGTCGATGTTTCTCTCTCATTGACATTTCTAGTTCTCTATCTCTCTCCCTTCCTCTCTGTAAAATATCAATAAAATAAAATAAAATATTATAAATGAATTCCTCTGCCTGGTATAATCTGACCAAGTTGCCAATTCCCATTAGTTTCTCATTAGACCCCATCCCACCCCTAACCCATATTCCACTTGAGTAAGACCAATATTGCTGCGCCCTGCTTGGTTCATTTCTGTCTCACCTCAAGAATATTCCCTATATTCTCCAAATGCCATAATAGCACTTGCTCAACAATGTACAGGGTGAAATCCCACCTCTTCAAGGAGTATTCCAGAAAACACCAAGCTCTTAATGATCTAACATTTTTTTTTTAAATTCATAGGCCTTTAAGAGATTATATCACCAATTTAATTATAAACTCTTCTGTGTTAATACTGAATTCTTTCATGCTAGTTATTTTCCCCCCCAGTTGGGATATGAGGTTTTTAAAGATTGGAATCATGTTTTATATTTATTTATAACTCACAATGGGTGGCAAAGTACTGAGTCATAAACCCTTCAGACTGTTTGATGTCCAAGTTCATTGTAGCTGCCTTTAAATTATTGGGTACTTTTCTAATGCTGCTGATTCTACCTGAGCCACATGGTTTCCCTGTGGGAAATTTTAAATCTCAGTCTTGTTCTGCAATTTCTAAAACCAGGGTCCCAAGTTCTGATGCTTATATGGTCCATGCAGATTCATAAAGGAAGAGATCTGGATGTAAGAATTCAGGGATTGGTGGGAGTGAGAGCAACAGGAGTGAGAGTGTCCTGTCTAGACCACTCCTTTCCTGCTAACTGTTGCATGTAGGAATTGGAGTCTATACATTTTACCTTGATAAGAGAAGCCAGGATTGTGGCTAGTGACATAAAATTTCTCCATTTTCTAACTTTGAAAAAATATTTCAAAGTATTTAAAAAAGAGTGCATGCCAAATTAAAGCTATCTGTGCAACAAACATCTGCCCTCGCTGGTTTGGCTCAGTGGATAGAGTGCCAGCCTATGGACTGAAGAGTCTCTAGTTCTGCAACAGGCAGCTGATCAATGATTCTTTCTCATCATTGATGTTTCTATCTATCTCTCCCTCTCCCTTCCTCTCTGAAATCAATTAAAAAAACATATGTATTTTTAAAAAGAAGAACATGTGATTCATTAGTGTTTTTCAATCTTGTTTGCAAATGAGAGTCACTTGGGGAATTTTGAAAGATTCTGATGTCAGGGTCATGGATTAGGCCAACTAAACCAGAATCTCTAGGGCTGTGTCCCAGGTATCAATAGTTTTTTTCAAAGCTACCCAATTGATCCAATGTGCAGACTAATTTGAAAGCTAATGTATTGGAGCCTCCTGTCTACCTTTGATTTCTTCTGTAAATGTAGGATTAGCATTATTTGCAAGGAATATCTGAGGTCTAAGATGATCTCACTGAGTTTGGATGCTTTAATTAGGAGCTTAAAACACTCTCAAACCAACAACTTTAGCCCCATTTGCCTAAGGACTTCTGCCATGTCGTGAAACCTCTGGTATCTTCAGCTAATTCTGTTGAGTCAGTTAATATACATTGCTATTATGGTAACGGGGAAAATCATATTTTTGTGTGTTTTAGAAATAAATGCTAATTAACTGATTAAAATTAAGTTTTTATAATGCTATTTGTTTATTTTTAATAGTGTTTTCTGCTCTGTTTTTAATTAATTTTTTTGAGAATAAAAGTTTCACATATCCAGGATAAAATAATTAACATTTTAAGTATATTATAGTCTCAATTCCCTAAATCACATATGCTAAGAATAGTTTTCTAATAATTTAAAATAAAAATCCTTACAGATCTAGAGGAGTGAATGTGTACATGAAGGCAAAAAATAAAAACAATAAAAACGGGGACATTAAAATATATTAACTATGATTCTCTATTTAAATCCCCACACTCTAACGCTTCAAACTGCTCTGTGGCTCATATAATACGACCTTTAATTTTGCTTTTTAAATTCTGATATTTTTCTTTTGGACAGGTTTTCTAATTTTTAAACAGGTAGTCTTAGAAGTCCTGACCATTAACCCAGCATTGAACTTGTTGTCTTTATTTTCTTGTTCTTTCTTTAATGTGGTCCATAGGTTTTAGTCACATGGCTATGAATAATTAAATGGACTAGGTACCATAAGTATTGCCAGTCTCCTGATCCTATCCTTTAAACAGCTCTGCCTTTTATTGCACTGCAATATCCAAGATTTTGATAATGTAGGAATTGCTGATTAACAGAAGATTTGGGGATTTTTACCGCCTACAGAGGCACTTCATTTTATAAAATCGTGGCATAACAAGGGAACCATTATGCCTCTGAAAAACTTTCATCTGTGACAATTTAAGAAATATAGAGAATAAAATCCAGTTGCCTCAAGAGAAAAAGATTTATATAGTCATTCATTGGAAGATATTAAAATCAGAATTATAAATGCAAAAGCTACCGATGGACGGTTTCGACAGTTTGAGAAATTATGGTGGAATGATGAACTATTTCTTTCAGAAGAGGTGATAATAATATAGAAGCCCAGAAATTTGAACTATATGTTACTGAAGACTATATGAATAATGACTTAATTAGGTTACTTGGAGATTATATATATATATATATATATATATATATATATATATATATATATTCCTCTGTGGTAGCCAGGTCCTCCTGTGTTTAATTTGAAGCACTCTCATTAGGCTTTTAGTTATTTAAGTCTTATTTGCCTATCGTTCACTTTCAAAATTTAATTAAAAGTTTTAGAGGTATGTGTGACTGTGTGGTATATTTTCTCCCACTTGTTTCTAAATTGCTGGAATGACCATGATTTACATTTATCTTCCTTTCTGTGCCTAGCCCAATGCTTTGCACATGGTAGGCACTAACAAAACACTTTTAAAACAGCGAATTGATTTCCATGGATAATATGGTGGTTCATCATGGCATTTGCAATTACCTACTTATTTCCTGAGATGAAATAAAAAGGAGTCTATTTCAAATCGTACATAGCAAGGCATTGGCAGGATAAGAGAAGAAGGAAAAGGAGAAACCACTGAAGGACTTACTCTGTAGTCACTTGATGTAACATAAAATATCGGGAGGAAGGCCAGCCAGATGATGCATGTGGTGTACATGGTAAAACCAATGAACTTGGCTTCGTTGAAATTTTCTGGGCACTTCCGCGTCTTGAAGGCGTACACAGTACATAAGATCACCAGGACCACGTCGTAGGTGAGGGAGATCAACATGCTGGAATCTCTGACATTGCACTTCAAGATGACCGTCTCCCGCTTCTCTGGAAGGGTGTACCGCCGGGTGCCCGGAGCCTCCAGGATGAGCCACACAGACACCACCACGATTTGCACCAGTATCAGGCCCAGGCAGATGAAAACCTGAGAACTTGGGCTGATGAACTTGGGCCTCTGAGCGCCGTTCTTGACCCCGTCGAAGATGCGGGCGATGCAGTTTGTTTTGGTCAGCAGGGCTGAGTAGCAGATGGCGAAGGAGGTCCCGAGTCCCAGGCGGCGCAACGCACAGATGACTGGGGACGGCTTGGCAATGTAGAAGAAGGTCATGCAATAGGAGAGGCCAACTCCAAACAGCAAGATGTAGCAGAGCTCTCGGCCTGATGCTTTGACCAAGGGTGTGTTGTTGTGCTTGATAAAAACAGTCACCACCATGCAGGTGCACGCGAAACCCAGGCAGGCGATGGTGACTGGACCGATGGCCCAGGCATCTTCCCACCTGATGTAGTCCTCGGGAAGGTCAAAGCAGCCAGATAGGTCCGCCGTGGGCCACTGCCCTAGGCCGCAGTCCGTACAGGTGAACTCGTCAGCCAGGTATTCGTAGGGCTCGCAGGGGATGCAGATCCAGCAACAGACGTCCCCCGGCTGCATATTCTTCATCTCATTGGGGGCACAGGGGTCGCTGCACTGGGAAGTGGGGACCGAGTTCCGGGACCAATGGATAGAGTCGACATCCAGCGATAAGGTTTCTGCCCAGTGACCAACCTTCAAGTAGGAATACTTGTCACCCACGTACTGAAAATTGAACACGTTGTATCGTCCCATTCCATCTCCGAAAGCGTCAAACTTGACAATGCTATCTGCACCTTGATTTGGGTTGAATGGAGCTGTGACATGTCAAGTGCAAAAAAGAAAGAAGAGAAAGAACACTGTTTAGGTGTCTTAGGTGTGATCGGTCAATTACTTTGTCATATATGGAAATAACAGGGAACAGAGATTCCAGGGCTGAAATAATGCATCAATTGAATTTAGACGTTGAAAGCTACTAGAATACTCATGTATTCATAAATCCATTCACTTTAACATTCCTCAGTGCCTCCTGCGTGCCAAGTGCCAGTGATAATCAGGAACACAATACAGTGCCAGCCTTCAAAGGAGCTCATTGTGTAACCGGAGAACTAGCAAACATGTGGTCATAGTCTCTGGGGTGTGTAAATATTCATTTCTTGAAAGATTTCACAGTAGGAATTGGACAAAACTTTGGATCTCATCCTTATTACATATTTATATATAGCCACTTAAATATTTTCATGAAAATATACAATTAATAGAATTTTTTTTCCTTAAAAATTCACTATGTATGAATGGTATGCTTCCTTTAAACAGTTTAAATGATTCAAAAGGAAAAAGAAGAAAATCTACCTTAAATCCTTCAGTGTTAATATTTTCACATGTTGGAGCATGTATATTCTGACTACATATATGCATGTATCTGTATATGGCATGTTCCTATCCACATAAACACATATAACCTTAATATTTTTAAGGTACCAACAGTATGAAGAAGGTGGATGACTGTGCCTTAAAATTTTTTCCTAATTGTAAAGGGTCAGTAGCCCTCAGTTAAATGACCTGCTCTCAACCTTGTCCCTTTTGGATAGCTCTCTCTGACTTACAGAGCAGCAGCCTTATAAGCATCTATGTTTCTCCTCTTCTAGTTTTTATTCATCATGTCTCTCTTGCCACTATCTCCTGCCACTCTGATCACCGGTTTTTATGTCGCCTACTCTGAACTACTGTGTACATATTGTTTCACACTGTCAAACTTGGCTGTTTCCTCAGCTGAGGAAGAATGTTGCTTATGTCTGAATGATGCCTAGACAAATTGTCTTAGTCAGATTAGGCTTACCCATATTGAAAAATAGACCCCAAATAGTTTAATGGCTCAAACACAATGGAATTTTATTTCTTCCTCATGCAGCAAGTAATCTAAGGCCTTCATTAGTGGGCATCTCTCTTTCACTTGGTGATTCAAGAACCCAGGTTCCTTATATGTGGAAGCTGTACCAATTGCTAGAGCCTCGTCTTCATCAGTGAAAGAGGAGGAGAGTGTGCAAGTTATACTTATTCCTTAAATTATTGATTAGAAATTAGTTACAGGACCACACCCAACCTCGAGAGAGGCTTGTGAATGTAGTTTAGCGAATGTGCCCAATTACAACCCTACTAGGATACTAGAAAGTGAAATTTGGAGACATTGCGATTTCTGATTCTGCAGGGATTTGCTGTCTTTGTTGTCTCCTCCCTGAGCTCTGTTCCATTTCTGAGCCTTACATTGGTTCACCCAGTGGGAAATGTTTTATTGTTCTTGGGTGCAGTTACTTTATGGAGAAAAAGCACCCTTAATTCCTTAATGAAATAAAACTTCAAATTCTACCAGATAGTCCTTTCCTGCCTAGGACCCATTGGTGCCCCTAGCGGATGGCTAGGTGGTTTACAGGAACAATTCATACCACATATAAAGTCTGTTAGGAAGTGTAGTCTCTTATACCAAATTTATTCCTCATGTATTATGACTTTTTTCGCTTAGTGATCTTGTAATATCACCCACCATTTGACTTGACTGACCTTCGTCTAGCTTTTTGCTACTTTCACCAAGCCAAACACCTATATCTCTGCTCATAGTGAATCAGAATGATATAGTAGATGAGTACAACATGGGTTTTGATTTAGAAAAAGTATATGGGATTCTCTTCTATGTCTTTTAATAGTCATAGGTCCTTAGTCAAATTAACTTTTCCATTCTGTTCCTTAATTTGTAAATGATAATATAAGTGAAAATTATAAAGAAATATAAATGTATTAAATATATTGATCATTTCCACTGATTTGTGACACTTGCAATAGTAAATTGCACGATTTAAACTCTCTATGTTATACGCTGTTTCTCTTGATCTAGTTCCAAGGCAGGATGATCTTTTTGCAACTACCATAGTTTTCCCCCAGGGTTTAATATATGTTAGGACAAGTGAACAAAGGAGTTGAAACATTATTACTGTATTTTCAGGAGTAAGAATCACATATAACTAAATTTGTTTAGTCTATACTTAGAAAAATTTTATTTAAAATTTTACAAACTCCTTACATATGTTACAAATAAGTAAAATGTTTAATATTTTAATGTACTTTACATCAAGTATATAAGAACTTCAGATGTGTCATTAATTATTTTACTTTACACAATCAATCTCCACCAGTGTTCCGTTGATGTTATTAGGTTTTCAGAAAAATATTTCTTAAAAAAATGTGTTGTATCTTTAATTTAAATATTTTACTATTTCCATACAGCTGTTCTGGAATGTAAGTTTCTTAAACATAATGTGAGAAAATGGATTGTTTTTGTGTTCTGAGCTGGTGAGGGTCATTGATAAGATTGTTGGCAAGTGAGATAATTAATAACAAAAACTACAGATACAAAACTTTCGTTTTACAAATCTTTTTTTGGAATCATCTAATATCATCAACAGAATATTAGGGGAGACTGGTTGTCTAGTTAAGAATAGCAAAGTTAATAACACATCTTAGATTCTTACACTTGATATAAAATGTGTTAAAATGTTCAACATTTTACTTAATTTTAACATATGAAAGAAGTCCCTAACTTTTAATGCAGTTTTTCTAAGCATAGAATAGTTTGATATAACAAAAGAACTCTGATATTGATTCTTATTATTGAAAACATAGTAATAATGTTTCAATTACCACTTTAAAAAATTATTTGAAAATGTTGAACATTAATACATTTTTTAAGGATCCTAAGATAATGAAAGAGAAGTATATGAACTTGTAGAATTGAAATCTTCTAGAATTAACTATTTGTTAACACTTTGTCACATTTGCTTTATCTCTATTTTTCTGTTTTTGGTGTGTGTGTGTGTGTGTGTGTGTGTGTGTGTGTGTTTTCCCTCAAATAAATATTTCCTATTGAAAAGTATAAGAATATAAACTATCAACATTGATATAGAGAAAGAGTTGAAAAGATATGGCACATCAGCCAGATTCTGCCTGTTACCTATTTTGCAAATAAAGTTTTATTGGAACACAGCTTCATTCATTTGTTAACATATGGCTACTTTCCCACTATAATTGTAGAGTTGAGTAGTTGCACCAGATATTGCATGGCCTTAAAAATATTTACTATATAATGCATTCCACAAAACTTTTGCTCATTCTTGAAATAGAGCCAAGGGAACTCATATATAGCAGTTTGGAAAATAAAATAAGAGATAAAATAGGAAAACATAAATTGACAATTAAGGATTACCAGATATTTAAGTAAACTTCTGACCTGAAAAAGAGTGACTGAAACACCCAGAAAAAAGAAACTTAGAGTAAAAACAATGCAGGGAGAAAACAAAAGCTTTAAAACAATAATGTGCTAAGAGAAGATGTTGTACCTATGAGATAGGTATGGTATAGTCTCAAAAGGAACATTCAGAGAAGAACGATGAACTCTGGAAATGAAATAGGAGAAAGGGAGATTAAATGTAAGGATTGAAAGATAGATTTAAGAAAATTTTCGAAATTTGACAAAAATGCTAAGATGTAAAATAAAGCAGGAAAATTAGTGAATATTTTGTGAAACTTGAACATTCAATCAGCAGGAGTTCCAGAAAGAGAGAAAGAGAAAATAGAGGAAGGACTTTATCAAAAGAGTCAAATGGATGGACTTGGCCTAAGAAAAGGTGAAGCCAGAGACTGTTACTCCTTCTTATAAACTTGCTAAATTCATGTAAAAATTATGTACATGTATTATTTTGTTAAAAGTAAAAGTGTTATGAAATTTTAAAAAGTGCAAGGTCAGGCAGAAGAATTTGCCAAGTAAATTATTAAAATGAGACTGCTGCAAATATAACAAGTGCTTGATAAGTGAGTGATGAACAAATAGTACTTTTGGTAGAGTTTTTTTTTTAAATGATGTTTACCTTTAACTAAATTTGTTTTGCTAAATATGTATCAAAGTATGGTCTAGAGTCTAAATCATTCAAATACATAAAACACATTCAAGTAATACTTCAAAAAGTGCATTATAAATTTCAAACGATCCTTTGTCAGTGGAAGTGCCCTGATCTTCAGCTTGGGATGAATGGTTGCTGTGTCTGCACTAGAATGAGAAACAATGAAAGGAGAGCCAGAAGAAAAGGTAAACCAAGTTTGTGAAATGTCTACATGTGAGAATAATCCTGTTTCTGAATGGTTATTCCAAATATGCCTGGCTGGGTAGTGAGGGGGCAGGAGGGAAAACCAAGCTCTTTCTCAGGTGCTGCTGGAATCACTTCTGGGGACAGAGAAGCTTGAAGGCCTAAGGGACTGATCCTGTCACCTTCCCAAATCACTGAGTTACCTCCAAGTCAAATGGCTCACCTGGGAAATAGTTACAGTCCTCTGAGCTGTCACAGGGTTCTCTGGAGATCAGCTGCAGAGTTCTCTAGAGGGAGGCAACTCGGGGGAGTTTCTCATTTCTTCAGTTGAATCTCATCAAGGGAGCAAGAATCACTTGAGATGGAAAACAAATTCCTTCATCTTTTGTTGTTGCAACAGCATGAAAAAGCCAAACTAAAGGGAGAAGAACTGGGAAGATGGTGGATTCTCCCCCAACCTCCCCCCCAAAACCAACCTTCTCTAAAATTGAATTTCAAGCCCCGCTATACTAGTTCCTCACAACCAGGTCCCTACTGTACAGAAGGAGCCTTTCAAGTCAGGAAGATGACCTCTCAGTTTAGCTCATTATCTATTATCTGATCCCGGTCTCACATGAATTTATATCATGTGAGATATCAAGATGACCAGTCCTCCTAGGGCTCCCTTGGTAGAGATGAGGCAAGTC